AGTCCCGTGATAGTTCCGTAACTTTCTACAACTCACATTGGTCCGTCCCGAGGTGTTTGAAGTGTTTCCCGGGCCGTCTCGTGGCTATTTCACAATTTTGGCCCCCGAAGGCCCATTTTCAAGCTTAAGTGTGGAAAAGTACATTTTTGGACTTAGTTTTCAAACCAGGAGTCCCGTGTTAGTTCCGTAAGTTTCTAACACTCACATTGGTCCGTCCCAAGGTGTTTGAGGTGTTTCCCGAGCCTTCTTGTCGCTGTTGCACGATTTTGGCCCCGAAGGCCAATTTTCAAGCTTAAGTGTGAAAAAGTACATTTTTGGACTTAATTTGAAACTGGGAGTCCCGTGCTAGTTCCGTAAGTTTCCACAACTCACATTGGTCCGTCCTGAGGCATTTGAGGTGTTTCTCGGGCTGTCTCGTGGCTGTTGCACGATTTTGGCCCTCGAAACCTATTTTCAAGCTTAAGTGTGAAAAGGTGCATTTTTTGACTTAGTTTTCAAACTAAGAGTCTCGTGCTAATTTTTTAAGTTTCTACAACTCACATTTGTCCATCTCGAGGTGTTTGAGATGTTGCCTAGGCCGTCTCGTGGCTGTTGCACGATTTTGGTCCCCGAAGACCAATTTTTGAGGCTTTAATGTGAAAAAGTGCATTTTTGGGCTTAGTTTTCCAACCGGGAGTCCTGTGCTAGTTCCATAAGTTTCCACAACTCACATTGGTCCATCCTGAGGTATTTGAGGTGGTCCCTTGGCCGTCTCATGGCTGTTGCACGATTTTGGCCCCCGATGGCCTATTTTCAAACTTAAGTGCGGAAAAGTGCATTTTTGGACTTAGATTTCAAACCGGGAGTCCCGTGCTAGTTCCGTAAGTTTCTACAACTCACATTGGTCCGTCCCGAGGTGTTTGAGCTGTTTCTCGGGCCGTCTCATGGCTGTTGCACGATTTTGGCTCCCGAAGGCCTATTTTCAAGCTTAAGTGTGGAAACCGAGAGTGCATTTTCAGACTTAGTTTTCAAACCGAGAGTTCCGTGCTAGTTCCGTAAGTTTCTACAACTCACATTGGTCTGTCCCGAGGTGTTTTAGGTGTTTCCTGGGCCGTCTCGTGGCTGCTGCACGATTTTGGCCCCCGAAGGCCTATTTTCAAACTTAAGTGTGGAAAAGTGCATTTTTGGACTTAGATTTCAAACCGGGAGTCCCGTGCTAGTTCCGTAAGTTTCTACAACTCACATTGGTCCGTCCAGAGGTGTTTGAGCTGTTTCTCAGGCCGTCTCATGGCTATTGCACGATTTTGGCTCCCGAAGGCCTATTTTCAAGCTTAAGTGTGGAAAAGTGCATTTTCAGACTTAGTTTTCAAACCGAGAGTCCCGTGCTAGTTCCGTAAGTTTCTACAACTCACATTGGTCTGTCCCTAGGTGTTTTAGGTGTTTCCTGGGCCGTCTCGTGCCTGCTGCACGATTTTGGCCCCCGAAGGCCTATTTTAAAGCTTTAGTGTGGAAAAGTGCATTTTTGGACTTAGTTTTCAAACTGGGAGTCCCGTGCTAGTTCCATAAGTTTCTACAACTCATATTGGTTCGTCCCGAGGTGTTTGAGGTGTTTCCCAGGCCGTCTCAGGGCTGTTGCACGATTTTGACCCCCAAAGGCCTATTTTCAAGCTTAAGTGTGAAAAAATACATTTTTTGACTTTGTTTTCAAACCGGGAGTCTCGTGCAAATTTCGTAAGTTTCCATAACTCACATTTTTCCATCCCGAGGTGTTTGAGATGTTTCCTAGGCCGTCTCGTGGCTGTTGCACGATTTTGGCCCCCGAAGGCCAAATTTTGAAGCTTAAGTGTGAAAAAGTGCATTTTTGGACTTAGTTTTCAAACTAGGAGTCCCGTGCTAGTTCCGTAAGTTTCCACAACTCACATTGGTCCATCCCGAGGTGTTTGAGGTGTTCCCTGGGCCGTGTCATGGCTGTTGCACGATTTTGGCCCCCGAAGGCCTATTTTCAAGCTTAAGTGTGGAAAAGTGCATTTTTGGACTTAGTTTTCAAACCAGGAGTCCTGTGCTAGTTCTGTAAGTTTCTGCAACTCACATTGGTCCGTCCCGAGGTGTTTGATGTGTTTCCCGGGCCGTCTCGTGGCTGTTGCACAATTTTGGCCCCCGAAGGCCTATTTTCAACCTTAAGTATAGAAAAGTGCATTTTTGGACTTAGTTTTCAAACCAGGAGTCCCGTGCTAGTTCCGTAAGTTTTTACAACTCACATTGGTCCATCCCGAGGTGTTTGAAGTGTTTCCCGGGCCGTCTCGTATCTGTTGCACGACTTTGGCCACCAAAGGCCTATTTTCAAGCTTAAGTGTGGAAAAGTACATTTTTGGACTTAGTTTTCAAATTGGGAGTCCCGTGCTAGTTCCGTAAGTTTTCACAACTCACATTGGTTCTTCCCGAGGTGTTTGAGGTGTTTTTCGGGCTGTCTCGTGGCTGTTGCACGATTTTGGCCCCCGAAAGCCTATTTTTAAGCTTCTGTGTGAAAAAGTGCATTTTTGGACTTAGTTTTCAAACCGAGAGTCTTGTGCTAATTCTGTAAGTTTCTACAACTCACATTTGTCCATCCCGAGGTGTTTGAGATGTTTTCTCGGCTGTCTCGTGGCTGTTGCACGATTTTGGCCCCCGAAGACCTATTTTTGAGGCTTCAGTGTGAAAAAGTGCATTTTTGGACTTAGTTTTCAAACTGGGAGTCCCGTGCTAGTTCCTTAAGTTTCCACAACTCACATTGGTCCATCCTGAGGTGTTTGAGGTGTTCCCTGGGCCGTCTCATGGTTGTTGCATGATATTGGCCCCCGACAGCCTATTTTCAAGCTTAAGTGTGGAAAAGTACATTTTTGGCCTTAGTTTCAAACCGAGAGTTCCGTGCTAGTTCCGTAAGTTTTTACAACTCACATAGGTCCGTCCCGAGGTGTTTCAGGTGTTCCCGGGCCGTCTCCTGGCTATTGCACGATTTTGGCCCCCGAAGGCCTATTTTCAAGCTTAAATGTGAAAAAGTACATTTTTGGACTTAGTTTTCAAATTGGGAGTCCCGTGCTACTTCCGTAAGTTTTCAAACCTCACATTGGTCCGTCCCGAGGTGTTTGAGGTGTTTTTCAGGCTGTCTCGTGGCTGTTGCATGATTTTGGCCCCCGAAAGCCTATTTTCAAGCTTAAGTGTGAAAAAGTGCATTTTTGGACTTAGTTTTCAAACCGAGAGTCTTGTGCTAATTCTGTAAGTTTCTACAACTCACATTTGTCCATCCCGAGGTGTTTGAGATGTTTTCTAGGCTGTCTCGTGGCTGTTGCACTATTTTGGCCCCCGAAGACCTATTTTTGAGGCTTAAGTGTGAAAAAGTGCATTTTTGGACTTAGTTTTCAAATTGGGAGTCCCGTGCTAGTTCCGTAAGTTTCCACAACTCACATTGGTCCATCCCGAGGTGTTTGAGGTGTTCCCTGGGCCGTCTCATGGTTGTTGCATGATTTTGGCCCCCGAAAGCCTATTTTTAAGCTTAAGTGTGGAAAAGTACATTTTTGGACTTAGTTTCAAACCGGGAGTCCCGTGCTAGTTCCGTATGTTTTTACAACTCACATTGGTCTGTCCCGAGGTGTTTGAGGTGTTCCCGGGCCGTCTCGTGGCTATTGCACGATTTTGGCCCCCGAAGGCTTATTTTCAAGCTTAAGTGTGAAAAAGTACATTTTTGGACTTAGTTTCCAAACTGGGAGTCCCGTGCTAGTTCCATAAGTTTTCACAACTCACATTGGTCCGTCCCGAGGTGTTTGAAATGTTTCCCAGGCCGTCTCGTGGCTGTTGCACGATTTTGGCCCACGATGGCCTGTTTTCAATCTTAAGTGTGAAAAAGTGCATTTTTTGACTTTATTTTCGAATCGGGAATCCCGTGCTAGTTCCGTAAGTTTTCACAACTTACTTTGGTCCCTCTCGAGGTGTTTGAGGTGTTTCCCGGGCCAGCTCGTGGTTGTTACACGATTTTGGCCCCCGATGGCCTATTTTCAAGCCTAAGTGTTGGAAAAGTACATTTTTCTAAATAGTTTTCAAACAAAGAGTCCCGTGCTAGCTCTGTGAGTTTACACAACTTACATCGGTCCCTCCCGAGGTGTTCCCGGGCCTTCTCATGGCTTTTTCATGATTTTGGAGCCCAATGGCATATTTTCAAGCTTAAGTGTTAGAAAGAACAAAACACTACTTACCTTTGGTGTTCAAATTTGATTTTCAAATTTCATGTTTGGTTTGATTTTCAAATTATATTGAAACATGAAAACACAATATAAAAGTAGAGGAGGGTAAATTCAACATATATACCTTATATATGCACTTTTAAATCAATGAATTGTAAACCTACTTATTGTAATAATATTTGGAGGATTCAACCTGAAGCATCATACCAAAAAAAAAAAAAAAAAAAAAAAAAAAAAAAAAAAAAAAAAAAAAAAAAAAAAAAAAAAAAAAAAAACAGCAAATAACTTTAACTCAATATAAAAAAAGCCTACAATAAGAAATCAAATGTATCCACTATATAAGTGATTCCTGCTAAAGGAAAAAATGCACTTATCATGGGAAAATAAAATCTCTTCAAACCTACTAATTGAATGCAACTCTTGGTTATTAGACTGGGTATAAAGACTGCCTCACAGGAAGGTCCACTAACAAGTACTCATTGCATTGGAAGATATGATACAACCCAAACTTAAAAGGAAACCCACCACAGAAATATTTCCTCCCATACACCAAGGAACATCCAGTGTACCACTAGTAATGCTAACTATAAGGCATTGCCAGGTATTTATTATCAATGCCACATCCAATACAACTAGAAAATATTTACTAGTGTGAAAAGTATGGAAACTGATAATAGATGACAGTACAGTCAAGGTTCTATTTATAATGTGCAAACATTTTATGATGAAATAGTGAAGTTTAAAAGTGTCCTAACCTAAGCCAAAGTTCAGAAACCAGCAATTAAATAAGAGTCACAATACTAAGAACTAATTTGGACATCATGTGTCTTGGTTATAGTTTGGATTTGTCTTCTTCTGAGGATCTCTCTCTAAAACCAGTTAAGTATCTTAGAGAGGATGTGACAAATACCATGGAAAACTCTCAACTATAGCCATCAAGTCATAAGATCTTAGTCATCCAAGTCCGTGGTTATGATCATATACATGTACCCACAAAAACACAGAAACAAAGAAGCAAGGCAGATAAAGAAGGTAAGAGTTTCATGCTAGCTTATACAATGGCTTAATTGTCTAAAAACTGTATTAGAATGGTTCTTCAATTACCATAAGTAATTCTAAAAGGTAAAATGTTGAAAATTGCATACTTACATGAATAATCAGCACATGACAATTAACATATGGGATTTTGTCAATGTTCTGCACACAGTCAACATAAACACCATTTAATTAGACCCAAAAAAAAATGCATAATCTTTCAATCAAAATAATTGTATAGATAAGCAGATGATCTGAAGAAGATCAATGATACCTTATAGATGTCGAACCAATATGTACGCTTCACAGGATACATGACTCTTAAGCTTGAAAGTATAGGACTATGCAGAACCACAGCTCTCAAATGAGGAAGACGAGCTGCAAGATTCAACGTGGGGCCACTGCCAACAGATTGGCCGTAAAGGATAATATTCTCTTGCTTAGCACCATAGCTCTCCTCAAGACACTTATACACAGCTTCAATATTTGCATATGTATTATGCTCACTTGGCTGCAAAACAAGGAAGCTATGTGCCATAGATGACACTTTCTATCACTACAAGGCACACTATATAACTTAACAATTCACTTTCATCTAGAAAAGTTTTCGATTACCACACACCTTCCCAGAAGACTGTCCATACCTAGAATAGTCATACCTGCGCAAAAGCAAACATAAAACTGTCATTACTTTGCTCAACAGATGACAACATAACATTTTGATTCTTGGAATAGAACAACAAATCATAACAGCTGCATTGTTTTCCCTCTATTCTAGGTATTAAATTTTCCATTCAAGTCCCATAGAGCTGGGACATGAGGTATGTCTATCAGTATCAAACTTTTGAAGCTACAGTGGAACCACTAAGGGCATGTATATATGTATGAATGTATGCAAACTAAGGTGATTTGAGTTATATGATGAGAGAAGGCAAAGTTAACCACAAGGTCTGCCGAGATGAGACTTCTAGGGAAAAAGAACATCATTTTAAGTCAAAAATGGAGTGCGACAATCAACCTGTAATATATAGGGCAGGACTATAGATCCGTAACAACATTCTTTTCATTTTATGATTCATATCCTATAAAGTTCTAAAACTTACAAACTCTAAATAAAGAGATAAACGATTAAATCAAAACTAAAGTCCCATCAATATAACAAAATCTCAAGTAAATAAATTTGCAAAAATCTTAGTACATTCCAATTAAACCCTAATGTCAGAAGTGGGATAAAATCAAAACTAAACACATAATTAAACCAATTTTTCATTTTCTTTTACACTGATCAGTCCCATCAAATCCATCGAAGCACCCATAATCATAACCCCAATTTCTTATAAATTAAATTGTAATTAACAACCAAAATCAGCCACAGCCTCAGATATCAGTAGAGATAACCTCTAAAGTAAATAAATTTGCAAAAAATTGATGACATTCCAACTAAACCCTAATGCCAGAAGGGATCAAATCAAAACTAACACAAAAAATCAACCAAAATTTCATTTTCTTTTTACATCGAATTGATCAAAACACTCATAAAATTTCCATTTTGAGTAAATTAAAAAGTAATCAACAACCAAAATCACCCACAGCCTTTAAGCATCGAGAGAAAGAGAGGGAGAGACTAACAGCGGTGTTCTCCGATTGGCACAGCAGCGGCGGTGAGGAAATGAGGGGCTAACGGCGGCGGTGGTGAGGGCTGTCAGCGGTGAGGGCTGTCGGAAATGGTAGAGCGGCGGCGGGTTGATCCAATGTGTGCAGCGGCGGTGAGGGCCCTGTGTAGTATAACGTCTGTGTGTGTGTGTGTGTGTGTGTGAGAGAGAGAAATAGGTTTAAACCGAGAAATGATTGTGTGTGATTGAGAAGAGGAACCGATTGTAACAAAACATTTTTATTTCCCCCTAAAATATTTAGTGACTAAATTATATTTTGGTGACTAAATTATTTCTTCACCAAAGATAAAAATATTGGCCACAAAAATAGTTTTGTCACTAAATGATATTAAAATATCACCAAATTATTGGTGACAAAAATATATTTGTCATTAATAATTTTATAATTGGTGACAAATTCTTTCATCACCAAAAGTCTATTAATTTTGGCGCCCTCCGAAAATATTAGAGGGAAAATATTTGGTGACAAAAAAAATATAAATAATGACGAAATATAATTTCGTCACCTATTTTTTTTATTATGATTTAGATTGGTGACGAAATTTTATTTTTGTCTCTAAAAATGATACATTTGGAGACGAAATATTATTTTCGTCATTAAAAGATACATATTTCGTGACAAAAAAAAATTCCGTCATTAGTTTTCGTCTCTAAAGACTATTTTTGTTGTAGTGGGGAACCACTTGACAATTTTAAAGTTTGCAACAATTGGAGCATGCATGAATTGACAATCATGGTTTACGACAAAGGAAATATCAGGCCTGGGGATGATAAGGTGTTTCAAGGCACCAACAAGACTACGACAAAGAGATGCTTGGGGAAAAGGCACCAATGTGGCTGAAGGAGGATTGGATTTAGATGCCATAGGAGAGGAATACGGCTTACAATTAATTATACCAGCCTTGGTGAGAATCTCAGTTGCATATTTTTGTTGAGAAATAAATAATCTAGAGTCAGTGCGGGCCACTGAGATACCAATAAAATAGGATATATCACCCAACTTTTTCATGGAAAAAACTATGTGTATATGATGTATAAGATATGAGATGTGCTGAACACTATTGCCAAGAATCAAAATATCATCCACGTAGATCAAAAGAATAGTAATAGCAGTGAAGGTCTTTTGAATAAACAATGATGAGTCCTATTCTTAAAACCAGAGGAGAGCATATAAGAGGCAAATGTGGAATACCAAGCTCTAGGAGCTTGTTTAAGCCCGTAAAGAGCCTTCTTCAACTTGCACACATGATGAGAATGAGCAGCACTCTCAAAACCTGGGGGTTGAAGTATGTAAACTTCTTCCTAGAGAAGACCATGAAGAAAAGCATTCGATATGTCCAATTGTTTAATAGACCAATTAAAATGAAAAGCAATGCTAAGAAGAACTTGAATGGTGGGTTGTTTGGCCACAGGACTGAATGTTTCCAGGTAGTTAATACCTTGCTGTTGAAGATAGCCCTTGTCGACAAAGCAAGCCTTGTGTCGAGCAATGGGGCCATACGATTTTTTTTTTTTTTAAACGAAAAATCCAGCCAATAACATGCTTGTGAAGAGGCAAGTCAACAAGAGACCATGTACCATAGGCTTGCAAGGCATTAAATTGCTCATTCATGGCCTTAGTTCATTTAGGAGTTTAAGCTGCTTCAGAAAAACAAGTGGGCCCACTAAGAGGACAAACCTTGGAAAGAAAAGCAAAAGAAGACTTTGACTAGGTTGTCATGGGATGAATATTTGAAGAATGAGGGTGTTTGGAAATAAGAATATCAATAGTGAGAGAGGAAATAGAGATAGGAGTAGGAATAGCATGAGAAGAAAACAAAGTAGGGAGAGATTGTGCTGTGACAGGCTGAACTGGTGCAGGATGTTGAACTGATACAGCCTGAATTACTAGTGCAACAATATGCTGAACTTAGGCAGACTGAATTGCTGGTGCTGCAGTATGTTAAACTAATGGAGACTGGACGACTAGTGTTGTCTGAACTAATGTAGACTGCACTGGGGCAGCAGTATACAAAACAGAAGCTGTTGGATAGAGACTAAAGACAGAGGGATAGAAGGAGAAAAATCAGCATAGAAGGACTGTGAAGGCAGAAAAGACCAAAAAAAGAAGTATAGCTGAGATAGACTAGGTATAGAGTGTTACGACCCAAACCGGCCTCTATGGGTTTAGCACCGTAATCGGCCAGTAATGCGAGACTACCGAAGGCCTGCTTAACAGTAAAACAGTAATACAGAGTACAGGGGCTGGCAGAAGCCAAAACAGTAATTAAAAGATATCCAATGAGCTGTGACAGTCTGTATGCAAAAATATATACATACATCATTTACAGGCATTCAGGTTAGGGACCAAATCCCCACCATAATAGTACAGTACAAATATCATTCAGTCTATACATAACAGAGACAGATAGGGTAATTCTGAGACACCCCAAAAGTAGCCTTAGCTTGAACAGATCTAGAACCTCGAAGTGAGGCACAAAGGTTGGCTTGACAAAACAAGGGCTTAGCCTGACGCTTCTAGCAACGGTCCGGTGCCTAAACACCTATATATATATATATATATGAGCAGTGAGCTAAAGCCCAGTGAATAACATATGTGTAAAGAGGTTAGGAATGAATGTCCTTTCAGTATTGAAAACAGTCATTTATCAGTATATCAGTCATTCAGTTTGTGGCTCATATTTCATGCCATAACAGTCACTCAGAAACTATAATAGTCATATGTGGTACATCCAATAGAAAAACAGTACAGTAGATCTTAACAGATCGAACGGTCAGTTGATGGCCATCATATCAGTAAACAGTAGTGGTTCCAAACATGGGAACCGACAGAGATCTCTGTGACAGTAGCAGTATAGTACAGTAACAGTAAATTACTATGGATGCCACGAATACGGTTCGCAAATAGGACAAGCATTCATTTAGTAAGAAATATCATTTCAGAAAGAAGTACAGTTGATCATTCAGAAAATATTCATGATTAAACATATCTTTATAACATTGCTACTCACAGAGTATTGGGCTATAAGCAGTTAGAGCGTCCTCGGATGCCAACCCTACACAGTTACAGAACGAACACATACTAAGCTACACAGTTGGGAAATAATAACTTAATCCCTAAGTTGCCTCGGTGTGGTTCTACATCAATATCCTCCTTAAGATGCCTTAAACATGCCCTAGGAATGCCTAGGATGGAAAGAGGATGCAAAGATGCACTTAAAAACACTTTTCAAAATTTTACTAAAACAGGGTCCCGCTCGAGCGTGGGTTTCCCCGCTCGAGCGGACATGTAGACAAAAGATCCCCGCTCGAGCGTGACTTACTCTGCTCGAGCGGACTGCAAAAGTACTGGATGGGTGAAATTCACGCTCGATGGGCGCTCGACCTCCGCTCGAGCGTAAGACACAAGTCCTTGCTCGAGTGTACATTCCCCCGCTCGAGCAGACTGTAAACACATGCAAAGTACTGGATACACGCATTTCCCGCTTGAGTGTCACTTTCCACACTCGAGTAGACTGCATGAACTCAGTGTGTACGCTCGAGCGTGGAGCTCCCCGCTGGAGTGTGAGTCCAAAATCTGGAATTTCTAGATTTGAACCTCAAGCTCAAAACTCAACTTTAAAGAATCAAGTTCGATCCTTTTGGGCTAATTTTATGGAAAACACTTGTCAACTCATAATATGACATGTTTCAAAGATCAATTTGAGAAATCAAAGCCCAAAGGTAGTTCAATTAAACACAATTTCAAAGAAGTTTTCATGAACATGGAGAACATCTGACATGCATGAATTCTAGTGAATTCTAATGCCTTAAAACATGATCCAAAGCAAGATTAAACTCAAAACCATGATGAACTCATGGACTAGAACAAGAATGTAAACTTGCATGCAAGATTTCATGAAAATCAACTTCAAAATGCAAGAATATGTACATGCATGCATGATTCAAGCTTCAATTCAACAATTTAAGCCATAACTTGGCTCTAAACTCCAACAATCCTCTAAACCATGCAAGAACCAACCCAAAATATGAACAAGAAGGTAAATTCTCTACCTTAAGTCTCCAATTTCAAATGTAGAAGCTCAATATGCAAGGAATCCTTCAATCTCCTAAGCCTCCAAGCCAAATTTTGGTTGAAATCAATCTAACTCCTATCTCTTTCTCTCTCTAGTCGGTTAGGCTCTCAAATGGCTGAGGAAATTTGGTGATAAAGCTAACATGTATAAATCAAATAAAAGGCTCAAGAAAGTCCACTAAGTGGCATTTTGGTAAATAAGTCCAACTATTGTAATTCAACACTATTTAATCCAATTTAATCATACCAAATCAAATTTCAATTAAACATGCCATAAAATCACATAAATTCTAATTAGCATAAAACACTAATCAATTTCAAATTCGCCCGCCGATAAGGCCTTCAATTTGCAGTTTAAAACATAAAACATGAACAAA